TCCTTATCATATATCACATACAAGAGAGCTCTTTACTCTCATATAATTAATTATATCAGAAAAACATTGAAGTGAAGACAAAAAAGTAGTTATTTTTATACAGAAATAAAGTGTATTACCTACTCTTATTCCAAACGTATGTAAAGTGAACTCCAGATTCCAGATGCCATACGTAAGATTAAGTAACACGGCCGAGTACTTAAGATTTCCGGTACGACACTTAGGCAATAGAACGAGTTAATATGCTTTGCATCTATAAGGATCGTTTTAGACATAAAATTTAACCTAAAATTACAACAGTAAATAAATTTATATTTAGTGTAATTCTATGAACTCGTTCGGGTTCTACGTAAACGAGCCAGTTCCTATCAATGCAATTTCACGTTTATGTTCGAATTAGAGTGGCTATCTGGAGAAGTACTACTTATTCTCCATAATATCGCGTTTCGTATGGCTATTCAGATTTGCTATTTGTATATTTGATAGTCGGCTCTCCTTCCATTCCTTATAGATAAAGCATGATAGGATACAGTGCCTTGGGTGTTACGACATTGGTCAAATTAGAAAATGGACAAGTTGGTAATTCATCAAATCCTTTTTTGTCAAATTATGTAATTTGCCGAACACGCCACTGGTTAATTAAAAATAGTTCCGTTTTGCCTTTTTAGTTCAGTATCTATCACACACGCCTTCTAGTAGAAGGTATTTATTAAATTTGAAATATTCAACAAAACGAAGCCATGTAAATAATGTTTTAATATTAACTTTTACAAATAATGAAGTAAAATCAAATGAAATGGAACATAGTTGACGGGAAGAAACATGTGACATAATCATAATATGCTTCGGTGGTTATTTTCTATTTAGCCAGCATTTTCCGCCTACATAAACTTCTCACAGCAACTGAACATGGACTCGACCGATGACTTATTTGGCAAATTACATAATTTAACGAAAAACAGGATTTGACTAATTAACAATTAGTCTAATTTGACGATTTGACTAATATCAGACCAATGTTGTAACACCCACTGCTATCCAATATGTCATATCATATACAAAATAGCCATGTGCAGTGATGTCGTAAACACAACAAGGGTCATCAGCTGCATATCATCAGACCATCAGTCATGTCATCAGCTGCCTTGCATGACTGGCACTGATTTTACGCAATAAAACAGTCAAAGTCAAATCAAAATTGATTATTTCTGAATTTGACAATTTATTTACTTACAATTAAAATGGTATGATATTATTTATTAATTGGTATATCTGACGTTATTTGTTCTTAGTTGACATTAGATATGACATTATTGTTTTATTGATTTTTTTTATTTTAATTTTAATTATGTCAATTATTTATTTTATTATAACATTAACTAATAATATTTTTACATTGAGCGATTTGACTTTGTTTCTATATACTTATCTATTTGACATTACTGTTTTTTATTATCTCTTTTTCTTAATTTTATTGAATTAAATGAATACCTTCTATAAATGATAATGTTTTTATGTATGACTTGCCTTCGTTTTGGAATTTTCTGTAAACCGGCGGCATGTGTAACTTTAATAAATAAATAAATAAAATTGGTTTACCCTACCCCATGCCGAGCAATTAACTAGCCCCTGCTAGGTGGTCAAAAGTAGTAGAGCACTGATCACACCGCACGCGCGTCTAGTAAGCCATGACTATTATAGGGGGTCATAAAGTGATATTAAATTACGAGAAAGTCCAATAACACTTTGTTGTTTCTGACTTGGTCACTTTCTATGCTGCACGTGCAATACGGACTGAGTTTCTTACGCACTACATACATTAATTGAAGGTTCGATCTCGACTTCTCTAAAAGTCCTTTTCTTTTTGTGTCCTGAATACGAAATGCATTTCATGCCATGTTAAACGTTTGCCGGATGTGTCGAGTTGCATCTGGGCCATCAAACTAACTTTTGAAATTATTGTCTTTAATCTCTAAATGTCCCCGCTGGGTTCCTGAAGACAAAGTCTCACAAAAATGATGGGCCTTAACCCACTCACTCTACGGGCTAATTATAATTAACGATAGCAGCGAAGACGCAGCCCTTAAACACCCATCTTTTTATCAGCTTTTGTGAACGTAGACCAAATTAGATGCAGCACCACTGCATACCCACAGTTCTGTTAGTTTTGGGTTAAGATTGTAGCATAATCAAATGATATTCGCTATTGATAGGTCTGAGTACCAATGTTAACGACGGCCTGTTAAACTGAATGAAACTAATGGAAATAATCGGGTAATTTTATTGAAATCAAACCAGCGAACTTGACACAATCACAACAACATATAATTTTTAAAAGAAACTTAGAAAACAATGACATATAAAATATACAAATAGTTTCTAGGAAAATACAGTAAATAGTTCACAACAACCAATTTTATGTTTTTCCTTCAAAAACTCCTACTACAGCTTTACAATCTGTGCTCCCACTATTTATACTCGATTTACCCCTCCAACAAGTTTCTAAAGAAGTAAAGCAAGTACTTAAGATGAACATAATTTCAACACCATTCTGTCCTTTGCATTCTTAAGTTTGTACCTACCTATCTGTCGTCTTGTGATTGTGACCATATCAGATTCTTTCAAACCAGTTTGTAGACAGGTCGATCGTATACGCACTCAACCTAGCTAGAATTTACGTACATATAATTCTTTCGTTTAATTCGTAAAACCGTTATGTATAAGAGGAATTTGTTAATGCATAACAAAAACTAAAAAAAGAAGATATGAAAAAAAGCACAGTAAAATACCAGGGACTACCAAACAATGTTTTTAATGAGTGGTGTGCGTGAAAACAAGAAATATAATTCAAAATCGTGCTTATATTCAGTCTTAAATCGCTCTATTTCAATGGATCATATTGAACGCTACGTGAGCGAAGCTGATATTTTTTTGTTTTTTACTAAAGAAGTGTAGCATGCCTTGCCTAGGAAGAAATATGTAAAATATGTATGCTTATAGGATAGCTAGCCCTTGTTAATATTTATTTCTTAGGTAAATACATATGTTATTTTACCAAATTAATTAAAAGCAGAGAACATTTTTAGTATCATTTTTCATAGACTAGCTAGCTAATGGTTTAAAATAGATATTATAAAATAGATAGATAGGATTTATTAATTATTAATAAACAGTTCAATGCCATGTATTGCAACATTCTACATAGTCACGTCGCAAATTAAGTATCGAGATAAATAAACACGTTCATTATCTTAGACATCCCTTATTTTCACAACGTATGAGTTTTACTGAGATAAATTGTTTAAGAAATGCATTATGATCACATCTAGTAGGCATAATAAATTGTTTAAAAGTTGTCTTTACAAAATAGTTGGCACCTACTCTTGCTTTTCCTATATTTAAACGAACTCTTTATCGTTAAAATATAAGATGATCACTATCCCAATTAGAGTTCAGTTACTAACGTTTAATCAAATCTGCCACCCTGGCTTTCACTACCGAGTTTTACAGAGAAAGATAATGCTTTCAATTCTAATATTTTTCTTGCACAAAACACTGTTTATATTATACCTGATCGGAAAGTGCTGTGCTGCAATTTTTTTGGGGGGTGGTCCCAAACATGGAAAGTTTGGGAACATGAAAGGGAGACGAGATCATTTTTTTCGTTTTCACCCCCCCCCCCCCCCCCATCTGTTACAACATTGGCTAGAGCTTGTTAAGGAGTATATTAATATTTAAATTATCACACTAATATTATAAAGACGGAAGTTTGTGAGTGTGTGTGTATGTTTGTTATTTCTTCACGTCTAAACGGCTAGTTATTAATAAAAACGAAAAGGGCCGGCAAAGTTGCCATTTTTAAACCATTTTTGCGCCATATATCTCAAAATAGAAACTAGTTAGGAATGTAAAATTTTGGTATATGCTGTATTTAAACAGCAAATACTGAAAACGCTGATTCCTAATTGACTTTGAAAGTTGGGACGAAAACAAACAGATTATTTTTACTTTAGCGATTTGTTGTATGTATAAAACATAAAACCATTCATGCGAGTTTGACTCGTACTTGGTCGGTTTTTTGAAAATGAAGCAGAAATGAGATCCTTTTACTACTGTTTCCTACTGTTTTACTACTCAACGAGCTGGAAAAGTGGATGTAAATCCATTGTTAAAGCGCTAAGCGGGCAGAAAGAAGTCTAAAAAATTTTTATTTACTTTTTAATTTGTGTGTTTTTTTATTTATGTTCCGAAAGAGCAAGTGACCAGTATCTTTCTGAACTTTAATTTAAAAATAAAATAAAAAGTGCGCTGTTTAAAAAGTCAGTTGTTTTAGCTATATACTTGAGGCGGCGTAATTATATTAATGATTTGTTGACACCGCCAGAATTAATAGAAACTGCGCAGTCATTGAGAACCCTATTAACTGTGAAATCAAAAAGCAATATAAAGCTCCCAGGCAAAAGTTTAGTGACTGTAATGGCTCCGACACCATGGCAGCGGCACCAGCCACTGGCACGTGATGCAGAAACTTGGACAAAGCCGTTGAGAATCACTGAAATGGCTCCTACACCCAGGGCAACTGGTACTGCCACTTATCGCGCGGTAATACCAGGTGGCACATGCCGCTGGTATTGTGAGTAGGAGCCAAAATGTCGGTAATGCCGGTGGCTTTTTTCTGCGTTAAAAACGGCGGCTTTTAAGTCGCGGTGTGTACCGCAGCTTGCCCGGTGACAGTGCCGCCGGCACTATGTGTAGGAGCCATAACAACTTTAATAAATATTTCAATGAAAGAATTTGTCTTTTATTAGTATAGTATAAAGCACTATGTATCCCTCGAAAGAAAATGCTATTCCCAATTTGGGTGTATTAGGGCTAGAAACTACACCCTCGTTGGTAATCGGTTACTTTCTTCTCTCAGTGAACAATCTAATATTTTTAGCTTCGGAATTACCCTTAAAAATAAATTACCCATATTCATTGATGTTTTGACCCCTGCTCAGTGCTGAGAAAGGGGACCGGGTGCACTTCGAGGTGTCATTCGAGCCCATCTTCACCGCGGTGGCGACTAACGACGTGTCCTCTATCCTGGAGCGGGAGCTCAGCACCCCGCGCTTCTTCACCAATCTCACTGTGTTGCCAGAAACCTTGCACCTAGAGGTAACTACAAAAGTTTGTTGAACTCAATGACAAACTTTTAGGATGTCATCGGTTCAACTAAACATACATAATATGATTAAATAGAACGCTTGACATGAATTTCATGAGAATTTTACCGAGGATTCAGCACGATCTTTGTCTGCAATAGTAGCAACAATATTGGTATCATAGTTTCTTGCGAGAGGACAATAAAACTATAAAATTGCTTGTGATGCAAAAGTTTTAAATGCTGACATCAATCAATATTGCGCTACATAAAGTAAAAAAAAACTTGATGTATATAGTTTTATTTTGTTCGGAATCTAGAGTAAGAACTAGTCATCTACTAAGTTTTGTAATTATGCAGTTTTTGTAACTTTATTTATGATTTGTATTGTAAAGAATAGAAAATATCTTGATAGACTTTAATGAACGTAATAGGTACCTATCCCATTTTTCTTTCGCTGCTTATCTGGGTATTTTTTAAACTAGATAAATATTTGTTGAAACCTTTGTTGTTTTAGGAAAGCTCCATGCTAACATCTTTAGAATCAGACGACAGTGAGACTACCCTAGAAGACGCGGCGACCACCGAGGCGATCACCCTTGAGGTAGAGGAGCTCAGCAAGTGCTACCCGCGCACCCTGTCGCTGTGCTCCTACCTGCCGTATAACTCCACCACGTACCCGAACCTCGTGGGACATACCTCTAAGGACGCCATCTTAAAGGATCTCGTGGCTTTCAGGGAGCTATTAGACGCCGAATGCTCACATCTTGCGCAAGTGAGTGTAGATACTTACTTACATTTTTTTTCACAGAGATGTTACCTAAGGGTGAAGCCAAACGAGCGTAATTTTGTGAGTTGTGAGTAGCTTATTTTCGGTCACTTATTTTACGTTCAACTGAATTTCTGTTGAGCTGCCATACGAAACGAACGTAATTTATTCAGTTACTATTGAGCGTTAGTACGGGGCGTTCGTGTCGTCGAGTGCAATGGATCCATTAAAAATATTGTGTATTTACGAAGCATATTCAGAAGATGAGGCCAGAAAAAGAAACTGGGTAAACCCACTGAATAGTCAGAGGCTGATATGTGGACAGTTCCATGCTTTATATGAACGTTTATGTGCAAATCCAGATATGTTTGAAAAGTACTATCATATGCCATTACATGTTTTTCAATAAGTAATTACACCACGCAACTTGTAACAAACTTTTGCTTCCCCACTCCCCTTCCTTGCCCTACCCTCACCCCGACCGAAATTCGGACGATCTTATGCGCATTGAGTCGGCAGACAACTCATTTTGCGTTGTCGTGTGGCACCAACTGCCTTTTTGTATGAAACCGAATGCAGCAGAATTTCTGCGACCGAAATTCTGCGACTCACCACTCACAAAATTACGCTCGTTTGGCCTCACCCGAAGTGTTGTTCCATGCCTAAACAAGTATTAGCTATTATAATATGTATATGGGTAAATAGACGTAATCTTAGCTGGAAATGCTGTATGTAGACGCTGGTGTTTTTAGAAAGAGGATTTTTTTACTACGACTCTACGTGTTGTGTTTATTAGTACATACTATTAAAAGAAGTTGAACTTAATATATTCATCCTTGAAATTATTTGCATAAGTACACACACACACAGCTTACAAAGGTAGGCATCTACCTACTTCTTTCAAATTCAAATAGAGCGTTGGCCTGATTTTGTAGCACTTTCGCTTTCCATGTCACATTGTCGCTTATGTGTAACTTCGCACTTAAAAGCGAAAAGAGTACCTATATAGTAAGACAATTTGACTCAAGTAGCTAATATTACACCTCTCCCTTAACTAGTCCCCAGAACCTTGAACCCTACCAATAAGCGTCTATTTCATAATCTTATTTTGATGCAGGATTTCGTCTGCCAAATGCTGCAGCCTCGCTGCGAGCAGGGTCGGCTGGTGAAGCCGTGTCGCGCGTACTGCCGCGCTTTTCACGCGGGCTGTGGCGCGCGCCTGCCCGACCGCCTGAAGCCACTATTCGATTGCTCCCTGCACTTCCCCGAATATTTTGGTCCTGGCTCCTGCATGCCCGAACCAGGTAGGACTCAGTGTATACATTCTTGTATGTGTAAGAAAACTCCTTCAATAACCAGCTACTTATTTATTCAACTCCAGATTAGCAAATTCTTATCCTAATAATAACAAACGACACGTTGGAACACTTCGACGGCCATCACCAGAATGATCTGTCACTGTCAACTCTCCCCGCCCCGCCAGGATTCAGTCAATAATTATGAGCCGCCGGATAGCTACGTCTCTCCCACACTTAACTACCCAGTTTTACTTATTGTTGGTTAGGGAACGCTCAGTCCCATCTCAATATGTATAGCAGGAATGTTACGGATATTCGCATCTGCATCCGCAAATTTATGTGCATAATTCGCATTAATTCAGCCGTCTTTATCCGCATCTGCATCAATTGATGCGGAGCTTTTACAGATGCGGATTCATATCAAGAAGTAGAAAACGGTGACGATATCTAAAGAAAGTGGGCGAAGCCAGAGTGCTTAAAATGGTATTAAGTAAGACCGCAAACTTTTTTATTAGCTTTGTTCTCAAAATTAACATGATATAGTTAGGTTAGGTTAGGTTCATAAATTAAAAATTTAATATCCTTTATCCTGATATAGTATCCACATCCGTATCCAGTATGGATGTCAAAATTTTTGCATCCGCAGCAGCCCTGTTAACCGTTTCAGATCAAAATTAATAAATCAACTTATAAACGAGAAGCAGTTCTTTTTTGGAGATTTTCAGCGCTATATTTTTAATTGGGTTTTATAATGCAATTAGAATGGTATGTTGTCACTGCTCATGCATTTGTGAAATTAATTTTACTTACAACACATTAATTAGCGTCTACATACCAGCAAAAGATTGTGAAAGTTGTGAAATAGTATTTAATGCCTAGATGCTTTTAATTTAAAATGATAGAAACATTTTTATATTACGTACCTACTTCGTATATTTAACGACCTCCGTGACCGAGTGGCTTGTACGACGGGTTTCCTATTCAGAGGTCCCTGGTTCGAATCCCGATGGGGCAAATGTTAGTATGATGCATACGAGCATTTGTACCTAAGTTATAGATGTTTATATATAATATATTTCTAGATAAAATATACTTTATACATGGATCAGTATTTATATTCTATTCATTACCCTAGTATCCCATCACAAACCTTATACAATGCATACTTTCCTAGGCAGACAGGAATGTATTTTAGATAGGTATTTTCTCAAACCGTGTACCCACTCGGTGACGGATATAGATTTTTTTAAAGACGAGTGGGCTTTTTATCTAACTCATACTTTTTTTCAAAGCTAAATACAAGTCAGGAATCTTGGTCTGTGGACATAATAATTTCTACTACATACACAATTGAATAAAGGAAAGTAACCAAATATGGAATACCACTTTGTTTTGAATTATAAAAATATATATATTGAAATCAAAAAGTTTTATTCTTATTAATTATCAGTCTTACAGTTGTGGTTAACTTATTGACAGGCTTTATTTGCATACATATATTAATTGAAAATATAAAATTTTCTTAAAAGCAAAATCTAAATAAAGGCTGCGCTACGAATTATGGAATAAGGACCCAAATATGGGCTACTATAAATTTTCAAAGTAGGTAAAAACGTAGGTAAAAATATCTGTCATTTGCAACTAGAAGTATTCGTTTCCGAGAAATGGCGGTATTCCATTTAGGGATACTATTCCTTATTTAGTTACTTTCATCTACTACTTAAGTAATTTGCGCTTTGTGATGTACAACTACGGAACCCTTAATTGCGCGGGCCCCAAAATACGCTTGTTTAAATATAAATTACTTACCTGATGTTAAGTGTAAGTGAAGGCCACTACGATAGTTGATGCGACCGCAAAGTGTGTCGCTCCAGCCATCCCGACCCGCTTTACCGGACTCAACTGAATCCCTTACTACGCGAAGTCCTCAAATGTACTCATCAACAGAAAGAACACCACCATAAGTCAATGTTATTTAACTGTGGTTTTATGTAAGGTTACTTTCCTAGACGGGCGCTTTAATATAGGTACCTACTTCTCCTAAAACGCAGCCCAAAAGAATACTGTCCATGACATGACAGCCCAACAGAATATCAGATCACTCTACATATCTATCTACTGTTATTTGACTGCCCAGCCTCACCCCAACTGAATACTAATTAAATCAACTGCAATTCTCTATAAGGATAAAGAGAAGACTTAACCAAACATACGCTCTTTCTGAGCGAAAATTACCAACTCATACTCCAACTCGCTTACTTACTTAATACCTGACGGCTGCTGCACTCAGAGACGTCAATGAAAATTATTTTCAAATGCCTTCCGTTGTTGAATATCATATTCGCAAAATAAAATACATGAAAAGCACCACTTTCTCAGGAAAATATGGTTTCTTGTTTTTTTCTGATGTATCTGAGTGTTGCTGTAAGTGTAGTTAAACTCAAATTAATTTATTCAGTTAGCTTTCTTAAGCAGATGTAAAAATTTTAAGCTAAGCCAAGCAACGGTCCGCAAATCTACGGCGGGAGACCTTGTACTGAGAAGAACCGACAAGAACGTTTTATTGTTTTTATCAGATTGCCATGGTGGTTTGAACCGGCTTGCGTTATCGCGGCGGTCGTGCGACGGCGTGCCTGACTGCGCGGGCGCGGAGGACGAGCGCAGCTGCGCGCACTGCGCCTCGGCCGGGCGGGGGGCGCTGCGCTGTGCGCTCGACGCGCGCTGTCTGCCCTCGCACCTGCGATGCGACGGCACGCCCGACTGCCCCGACGGTAGCGACGAACTCGGCTGCTGTGAGTGATTTCTAGACATCAAGTAGGTAATCTAATTTGCGCTCGACGCGTGCCTGCCTCCGCAACTGCGCTGCGATGGAACGCCCGACTGCCTCGATGGAAGCGACGAGCTCGGCAGCTATAAGTAGTTTCTAAACATCAAGTAGGTAATCTTATCTGCACTGTTCGCGCGCTGCCTGACCGCTTGCGCTGCGACGGCACGCCCGCCTGCTCCGACGGTAGCGATAAGTTCAGCTGCTCTGAGTATACCTACATCACAAGCTTCTAGGCATCAAGGAATTCAATCTGTGCTCAACGCTCGCTGCCTGCTCCCGCACCTGCGCTGTGGCGGCACGCCCGACTGCCCCCGACACGGTAGCTACGATCTCGGTTGCTTAACAGCAAGCTAACGCTTACCTACATCAAAAGTTTCTAGGGATCAAGTAAATTCCAGGAAATCCTGGAGTCCGCCACATAACACAGTGTTACAGATAGTTCTCTGTGCAGAGGATGTCTAGAAGCAGATGAAACGGCCGCTCATGTGATCCTGGAATGCATGAGCGTGGCAGAACACCAGGCGTCAATCCTCGGGACGCCAAGGACGCTCCTAGAAGCCTGTGAGAGTCCCAGGAGACTACTGCGCTTCTAGAAGGAGCTGGGCTGGCTGTGCTAGCTAGCCCAATCAACCCTGCACGCACGATGGACCTACGGACTAAGAGTCTACGTGCGGAAACGGGGGCCCACAACAAGCCGAGCCTACCCGATCAAAATAAAATACACCTACCGGGTTCTATTCTGAATCTAAACTAAAATTTTAGATTACAGATTATGTAAGAAAGTTGCAGATCGTGAGGGCTTCATTTTATTCATATAAACAGCCCTTTTCGAAAAAAAGAAATGAAATCGATAAATTAACGGCACCATTAATGTTCAAGTCTAAAACAAACGGTACTGCTGTTATAGGATACAGATACAGAAGAGGTTTCATTGCAAAAATATGAAATATGAAAATATTAAAAGAACAGCATTATTCCTTGACAGTAAAATAGGACATACGTGCCGACTACCAATAAAGGACAGGGTTTCTATCCTGTTTCTGTTATTGAGTTAAGTCTTCTCTTTGTTTTGGTAAATAAATACTTATATAAGTTGCTAGTGTCTACAAACTTGAATGCGACTGTGGGCTCTCCTACATCGGGCAAACAAAGAGGAGTATTAAAGAACATATTGCAGATATGAAACATAGGCGCGAAAATAAGTCTGCAGTGAGTGAACATGCATTATGGGGACCAAACCATTACATTAGATTTAATAAACCAAAGATCCCTGCAAATGAACAACGATTCATTCCTAGGATGATACATAAAGCTATTGAGATTAAGAAATATCTAAATTTCAATAGGCAAGATGGTTGGCATATACCACCAGCTTGGGAATCCATTATACAACAAATAAAATCCCAACCCCGAGCACACACTGAGCACCAACTGATATTATTAGTTCTTTTTGTTTGCATAATTTAACATAAGAAGGAGATAGAAAGCCTCTCTGAGTTTGTTTCGCCGGTTCTTCTCAGAAATGTCTTCCAATTTTGGAACAGGTGGTAGTTTTAAGGTAGTTAGGGTCAAATAAATAAACTCAAATTATAAAAAAGAATTAAATAGTATTTTATTAATTAAATTAGCTAATAAATTCAAGCATAGACAATAAAGTTTAAAAAAAAATCCAATGAAATATCCCAAGCTCAATAAAAGCCTTTCGAAGGAAGCTCGACAAAGTAAATAAAAATCATTATTCTGTCGATGCATTCTTGCAAAGAGTGTGAAACATCATTAAATAAATAAAATCAGTGCATCTAACTCGTTGAAACTTGTTTTATTTAATTATACTTATTGGTTTTCCAATATCCAGTGTGGATCTCGCGCTCCCTGGCGTGGTGGCGGCGCGAGCGCGGTGAGACGACTCTGGGTGCTGTGCGCAGTCGCGCCGGGTACGCCGTGTGGTCGGAGCGGGGCCGCGACGGGAAGATATGCGCCGCGCCATTCGACAACGACCGGCGGGCATTAAAGAGCGTTGCCACTTCACTCTGCAGGGCTATGGGCTTCAAGTAAGTGCAACTTTTTAGCCAATAAAATTTTTAGTAAGGCATTGAGGAGCGCGATTGCGCAGGTGGTTAGTGCAATCGGTCTGCAATCGCTGTAGTAAGAAACTTTCGCCATAGCCGATCATTGTATGTGTATTATCAAAACTAAGTTGCAAAGAAGAAAGAATGTTATGTTACTGTAGTGTTTAATAAGTGTATTTAGCAAGTAAGCAATATTGATTTATATAAATGCCGTCGCGTCGTGTTGATTATTACAATTTAATCTTAATCTTTAAAGCATATTTTAATATAATGATGTTTTTCTTGTTTAAAGTAATAAAAATAAACATTAATGATCATCCACGTTATACCTATTTGCTTACAAATCATCATTTTGATCAAGATTTAATTTTATAATACATTTTCATTCACTTTTCCATTTCTCTTTTAAATTAATTTAAGCTACCGACATTCGGAAGATGTAACCAAAATTCGGCCAAAGACGAAGTTCGGTAAAAGCTACCGAACTACGGTAATACTGAACCGAATGTGACACGAATTTCGGTGCATCCCTTATTATTATTATGCAGCAGACTAATCGCGGGTACCCAAACTGTGATTACGTCTGCGTAAAATAGAAACATCGATTTTCTATAAAAAAAATGCTCATCAACTATTTCACCTCTTTCAGGTTTTAAAACTATCACGTCCCGTGTCTTTCTCCGAAATTCCCTATACTTCTTTACCTAAATTCATCAATTATGTTGAGCGACTTAGGCGTGAAAGTGTTTAATGGTGACACAGTCATTTCCGTTCTAAACTTAACTGGCTCCCTATTCGCCGGCGCAGGGACTTACACACTCTTACGCTTCTTTACTCCGTACTTTTCTTACCCACTTCTCCTCATTACCTACTTAAAAGAATGCTTCTTGTTTCTCTCTTCTACTTCACAGCGTACTTTGCCATCTTCTTCTAACCTATCTCTTGAAATTCCAAGTCATTCTACTGATTTCTTTTCCTATTCCTTCTCTGTGCATTCTGTACGTCTATGGAACTCATTGCCAGAAACTCGCACTCTGAACTCGTTTAGGGATCAAGTTCGGAGATATTTCCTATCCCAACTATTATGTTGAATTTTTTACTTCATCCTCTCTCTTTCCTTCCTTAGATATATCTGTTTTCCTGCCATTGATATTATTATGTTTTTCTGTAACACCCCTCCTTTTCTCCTACATATTTATTTATCTTTCTATTATGGGTTGCCTGGAAGAGATTGCTGCCTAGCAATAAGGCCGCCTATATTGTGTATGTTCTGTATATCTTTTTTTAATTTACTTGTGTGTCTTGAATGGTGTATCACAATAAAGAATATTATTATTATTTTAGAGTTAGAGTATTAATCATTAAATATGGAATGTAAGCTATTCACTTAAACTGCACTTGATATTTTCATACGTCTATCATTTGTTTTTATCTTAGAGCTGCTACAAATGTGGAAGTGACACAAGACCTAGAAGAGCTGATAGATGAAAATCCGGAATACGTCGCAATCGTTGATCCGTTCGCTCCAGAGATATCATTCCTCAAGACCGAGTGCTCGGAGAGAAAAGTCATCAAAATTGTTTGCGATCAGTTAGGTAAGCTATTACTTAATTAAGTATGAACTTGAATGATGATGACTAACTTATGATGATACCTAGGTATATCATTTCATTATTTACAATGAATGAATGGTACATATCGGTTTGGCTAGGTTTTAAATAAGAGTAATAAACAATAACAATAATTAATAAGATAAGATAGAATAAGAGTAGGAAGAATCGTTTTCCGTACGTCGAGTAAAGAACAAATCGCGTCTCTGTAGAATAGTCTTGTGAATTAACTTCTTTTTTACCCGGCTGCGCAATGCAAATGCGCGAAGCGCGACGCGCAGACAGGGTTATGTGTTTAACAGTCTATACATGTATGTTTGTTCCTTTGTGGCACACTAGAGACCAAACGCCTGGACCGATTTTGATGATTTATACATCAATCGATTCGTCTCAATCATGGGAGTGCTACTAAAGATATGATAGTAATCTAAATTCAATATGGGCAAAATTAGGCGCCATATTGTGACGAAGTAAAAAAAATAAGTTGACAAAATATGTCGAGTGGGGTATCACTGTCTAGATAATCAAAAATCATATTTAGGTTCCTAACACCATTTTTTACCCGGCTGCGCAATGCAAATGCGCGAAGCGCGACGCGCAGACAGGGTTATGTGTTTATTAACAGTCTATATATGTATGTTTGTTCCTTTGTGGCACACTAGAGACCAAACGCCTGGACCGATTTTGATGATTTATACATCAATCGATTCGTCTCAATCATGGGAGTGCTACTAAAGATATGATAGTAATCTAAATTCAATATGAGCAAAATTAGGCGCCATATTGTGACGAAGTAAAAAAAATAAGTTGACAAAATATGTCGAGTGGGGTATCACTGTCTAGATAATCAAAAATCATATTTAGGTTCCTAACACCATTTTTCATTTTATATGATTGTTTAGGATCTACAACGCATTAAAGTTGTATATTAACCACTTACGCTTTTAATTTCAATCTTACGTTTGTATGGATTTTTGTTACTCTTACCTTAAAAAATACTGAATGGATTTTTATGAAACTAAACAGTAATATAGCTCATACATGATAATTACATATATATAATAATTTATGTAGTTATTGAGTGAATTGGGCAATATATAACAATAAGTGTCACATAAGACGGAAAAAAATATCCCATCTGCGAGCCATTTTGGCCTGCACTGCAAAAACAATAAAAGTTACATGAATTTAATATAGAGTGATATCTCTTAAATAGTTCTAAAAAAAATCCGTGACACCATATATCTATTACGTCATTACATGTCATTCATTCAGTCATTACCGCTAAAATAGTTAATCAAAACTAAAATATTCTTTGATATCTATTTCCAAAATGCACATTTTGTATTAACAAATCATTTTTTATCAAAACAAATACTTTTATCGCTTTTGATATTTAAAGACGATAAACTTTGCTTTTTACACTATGTCATTTCGACAAATATTTAAAAAGTTACAACGATGACAAAGTGATAGCGCGGTGTACTATGTAAAAGAAAAAAAAACGGGGTATTCGCAGTATCTGATCCTATACGAAGTACTAACAATAAAACTGTGATACAGTTCCTTCTTATTAAATGATGAAAAATATATTATCATAATAGGTATTTATGATTATTGAATTTTAATGAAAAACTCAAAATTTTACTGTTTTTCATTTTTTTAACGATATTACTCAATGTTACAAAAAAGGTTTACTTAATATAATGACAAATAACCCATTTTTCGCTAGTAAGTACATACTTATTGGAATCCCTGTATTTATTAATCAGCTCGCGATAATATTGGTTTTGTAATTATTCTGCAAAATTCAAAGTAAATAATGTAGATTTTTATAGGTAAATCACCCCTTTCATCACCCTACGCCTATAAGTATTGCGATGTTGTAGCTAAGAACCAAGTTCCCATCTACTTCTATATGGGAATTCATTAAATTCGATTTAGCTATTAGGGCACGGAAGCGCAACAAACAAACTCACTTTCGCATCTATAATGTTATATTATACTTACTAGTGATCCACCCGGGCATTGTACGGGCGAAATTTATTTATCGGGATAAAATATAGCCTATGTCACTCGGACAAAATGTATTTAAATAAAGAAAAATGTTATAATATATAATGTAGCTACCTTATGTTGAATTAATATTTGAAACCGGTTTAGTAGTTTGACAGATTATTTGTTACAAACATACAAATCATGCCTCTTTATAATATTAGTATAGATAGTTAGGATAAGATAAGTATTTAATTGATGAAAAGGATTTAAAAATAAAGTAAGTAATAGGTTTATTTGATTATATTTATAACAAAAAAAATGGAAAATAATTGCCATGACTGCACTACTGGGAGTACTCTTCATTCGAGCTTTACACTACCAATAGAAAAGGGTCGAACACAAAGTCTTTGACCTGTTAAATGTGAACGCTTTGAAAGAAAACTACAAAGAGAACTATTAATTGATAATAAATGAGATTGCTATGGTGATCTACCTAACGTTATGAAAATTTTATTATGCGCCTTTAGTTTAATCAAATATTATAAACTTTGCTTTGGTGATTGCATAATTATTTAATTTAGTGATCTAAGGCAGTTGCCACCATTGTCCAAAACAACATATGGGAATTACTTCTTTCTTCAACCTGCGACATAAACGTCATTGATTGGTATTGTATATAGGATGATTAAAAACATTTGAAGTTAACTTCTGGCATCTACATATTGGGTTTCTGTGAATTATGTAGGTATATCAAATTATGAGACTAGGGACTGACACTGAATTTGTGTATATCACAATCTTAGACGTCCGGCATTGACATGACAATGCAGCCACTGCCAATTTTAAATAGTCGACGAATAAAAGTAAATGAATTTTATATTTACTGCTAAACTATTAAAAAAACATAAACAAAAGATGAATTTTTGAGTAAGTGCTAGTTTACTATAAAATTTATATACATTAGAGATATTTATGTAACGACTTGATTTAACTTCACACATTTTTGCGAAAATTGAGGCCCATCTGTAGCCTTGACCCCGCTGGTAAAGTCTTTATATGTCTTAATAAATCAACCTTTTAGACCGACGCAAGGTACTTAATAATTCCCGCGATATTAATTCCCTTACTGAAGTAACAAGACTACGGTATATACCGTCTTAAAATACTAACTAAAAAGTGTAAAATAAAAAAGGTAAATTTAAAAAATCAAAAAGCCCGACTGCTTAATTATTCTTCAAATAAAAACTGAAAAGAAAAAAAACAAGTCCAGTAGTCTATAATTCTGTTAATAAGGAACAAAGCTACTTTAACAGTCGGGACCCACTGTTGAAAAATATTATGTATTCTTGAATATCTAATGGGTCCCGACTGTTAATGTAGCTTTGTTCCTTATTAACAGAATTATAGACTACTGGACTTGTATTTTTTCTTTTCAGTTTTTATTTGAAGAATAGTTAAGCAGTCGGGTTTTTAGATTTTTTAAATTTACCTTTTTTTCTCCACTTAACTGTACTTATAAGACAAGTACAGCCCTACAAACGGACGGACAATGGAAACGTTATTGTTTCTTAACCTTCCTAAGTTGGAGAGGAAGTCGAAGAAGAAGAAAATATACTTCCGGACAGTATTTAATATCGTTGTTCTGGACACATCTATCGGCCCACTTAGTGCTTTAAGTTCAACGGTCTGTTGTAAAAATATATGTTTATGGTTTAGCAATAATTTAAAAAATGCGAAAAGATGGTAATAAATCAGCTTCAAACCTGCGGAGGTAATAACTTTTTCCTCAATGCAGGTAACTTTTATTTTTAAATAGGGACCGTCAAAACTTTGGATGCTAGGTGGATCGATAGATGTGTCCGGAAGTTTAGATTGGGGTATGCCTATAGCACGTTTTGCCTTTGCTGCAGAATGCGGTGTACCGTCCGCACGGGGAGCAAACGCTGGGTCGGGCGTGGAGGGATTACCGCGGGCGGCGCGGCCCGGCGACTGGCCGTGGCACGCGGCCCTGTTGCGCGCCGGCGTGCACGCCTGCGACGCTGCGCTGCTGCACCCCGCCTGGCTCATCACCACCGCCTCCTGCTTCCAGGTACCAGTCTCTATCCCCCTTATTCAAAAACGATGGATAAGCTTGGATTTGTTACTCTGTTTCATTATTACAATGCGATTAAGATCTTGTGGCCGAGGAAGTTATATAACTTACCTAGGGCAGTTTTATGACATTGACAGGACGATGCTAGTGAAATAAAATGAAATCTATGTTATTAGGTAGGTAAAATCCCCTCACATTTAGGGAACGTTTAAATTAATAATTCGGAAAGAGTAATGGGAAGTATAAAAGTCTTGTTCATACCTTCCTATATAAACAAAAGGGCTTATTTGTAACTTCCTAAAATTAGTTCCGATCTCGCCCACGCGCCACAAGAGCTTGGTCCCACATGGCATTGGCACTTGAGTGTGACTCTCCTCCGTAGACTCATCCAACGGAAATCCATTCGATGTGTCCTCGGAGGCTTACCCACTAGGAACATGAATATCCTCGCGGGCGGGAGAAGCGCAGGCGGTACCTACTAGGTACTATTATCGTGACGATGATAGCACATCACCATTTTATTTTCATCCTAGCGTGCGCTGCGGACTCTAACCACGCCGGCAGGGCTAATTGACTAACCTTATCATTTCTTCTGTGATGTGTGACTTCACGTACCTAACTTTTTCCTAACATGTTCCCCAGTATATAATGAAAGAGATAGCAAAAATTTAAAACGTTAATAAGACTACTAGGCCCCAGAACATCTTGAATTTAACGATTTTTTAAATTAGAATGAGTTTAGCGTAGGTACGCACCTTTTGAGTAGAGTGCTAATAGTAATGATTGGTATATAGGATAGGTATTATATAAGTGTCAGTTTTTAGTTCCATGAGGCCTTTGATTACAGAGCTGCAAAATTAAGTTCAAGTAATTAACAGGACATATTTAACTGCACTGAAGTAATAAATACCTTTTTCTCAATACAGGGTCAGCCGAATGTAGAATGGACCGCAAGATTCGGCACTGTGAGAATACAAAGCACAACACCTTGGCAGCAGGAACAACGGATTGTGGAGATCATGAATTCGCCTGTAGAGGGCAGCATGCTGTCGTTAGCGCGACTGGAGAAGCCGATCGCGATGACAGACTTCGTGCGGCCGGTGTGTCTCCCTGAAAATGGCACCACCACCGAGGATATGGTGTGCAACACGCTCAGTTGGACCAGAAACCGTGACCAGCTGCAACGAGTGCACGTTGTGACTAGTCCCATGAACACTTGCGAGAACGTCAGCATTGCCACTGTCAACGGTATTTGCTCCGAACGACTCTATGACAAGGACGACTGTGACGTAAGTATCTATCTTAATTATTCATCTTTTTACAATCGAGACTGCGTTAATAGCCGAAATCACGCATCACTTCGCTGGATACAAAGTCACCATTGAAGTAGACTTAATTAGTTGTAGTGGAAGTGACAATTCTCCTGACCTTCACTATAAGTACCTGTACAATCAAAAGATATTGCAAGGCAACGCAAACAAGTGCTTGCCCCACTGTTTCTTTCAGAAATAATGGTCCAATGTGTCAACATTTTCTTGACAATAAAACTTTTACCCACAGGAAGAAGAGTATGCTGGGAGTTCTATGATGTGTTTCGATCAAAAGACTAAACATTGGGCACTGATAGGGGTCAGCGGATGGAGGATAGCCTGCAGTAAGATAGGACTGGGTCGGCCCAGAATATATGACGCTATCAGCTCGCAAATCGATTGGATCAAGCAAACCATAACTAACTACCCGAGGTGACCTTGAATCCTGGTTCAAGGGATCACAAGTTTTCAAAGACTGTATTGGATTTAGATTGTATTTTTAATTGTTAGATTTGTGAAAATGAAAATTACTATTACCTACTACTGGTATAGAAGATAATTATTTGTGTAAACTTTTTGTATTGTGAAAAATTTTATAGTGAAAATCTATCCTTTGAGCACGGACCTAAAAAAAAGACGGACGTAACATCAAAGGCAAATCATGTGAAGCATGCAAGGTCAGACAAAATCGTTTGTTGTACACTACCTACACTCACACTAATGCACCAGGTCGGACAAACCGCTGCCATTTGACCCCGCGTGACAGCGGCAGTCACACATTCAATTGCTCTGATAAAAATAATTAAAAATGCCGTCTTGTGTGGTGAAATCCTGTAAAAACTACACGAATAAATTTAAAAATTCACAAGGAATCACCTACCATGCGTAAGTATTGACAATTCTTGATATTTATTCCATATTATATTTTATTTACTGGGATGAAATTTGTAAACAAAAATACAACTGTATGGCTTCTTTATTTACGGGAAATTTTCCCTAAAAGTAGGGAATTTTGTATTTCTTGATTTTGTGACTCGGTAAGGTCAGATTTCGTAACTTTTTAGGGTTCCGTATCCCAAAAGGAAAAGAATAGAAGCCATATTATTCATAGAATATTTTATGTTTTATAAAATGGTATGTTCTCGCTGTGAATTCTTTGTTGTTTATATATATCGTCGCTTAAACAACAATACCGCGCAAGTCGAAAAATGACGATGTGACGTTTTGTACATCATTGGATAGATCTTTTTGCCGCGCAACCAATGGTAATATGTAAAATTTCGAAATTAGCCAATCATAGCAATTTATTGAGTTGTACTGGCACCGCGCAAATCGTTGACAGTGTTACAACCGCACAAGTCGTCAGTGCGCCATAGAAAATTGTGTTAACGTGAGAATTTCCAGCCACCACGTGAGAGCACCATCTGGGTTGTGAACTAGAACCCTTAAGTCAGTTACAGTTGGATCATTGGCTTTCTTTCCCGGTCAAATGCTTTGATAAATTAAGTCTTTACTTAAATCTGTAAAAAAGCTACAATCTACAGTGCGAGGTTCGTATGGCATTGGGTCAGTTATAGCATTCATTGCTATATCAGCATACTGTGAAGGTAACCGGTTCCTTTTTTTTCAATTTGCGGTGCTATTTCTGCATCAGTAATGTTGCCTGCTTCATGACAGCTTCACAACTTCACAGTAAACATCACACCTATATTTTTTGGGCCATATAGTCTCAAATTGAGCTTTAAAAATATATCGTCAAAAGCCCTGCTAGAGAGACATTCTGCAGATTCGTAGTCACATTTATTGGTGTACTCTTTGTTAAGATGAAACATGATTTGGAATAATGGCTCCAAGTACTTTCTTGATGTATTTGATCGACAGTAACGAGAATGCGTTTTTGGGAGACTATTTATAAATTCTTCAACATATTCATGAGCATCATGCTTTGTTTTTCAAAGGCTGGCATTTCGTGAATGATCATTCATTTAATCATTCACGAAATGCCAGCTTTTCAAAAAAAGCATGGTGCTCATGAATACTTTTGAAGAATTTCTAAAAAAAGATAGGTGGGATGTTGCTGTGGTCATGAAGCAGGCAATATTACTGATGCAGAAATAGCACCGCATATTGAAAGAAAGGAACGGGTTACCTTCACAGTATGCTGATATAGCAATAAAAGCCAGAACTGACCCAATGCCACACGAATGTTGCATTGTAGATTATAGCTTTTTTACAGATTTAAGTAAAGACTTAATTTGTGAAAGCATTCGGCTGGGAAAGAAAGCCAATGATCCAACTGTAACTGACTTAAGGGTTCCAGTTCACAACCCAAACGGTACTATTTGGTATAAATTAAATTTTAATGTTCCTTTGCAACCACTGCCTCAACGTCCGACGAAATTAAGCAATATCGTAGGTTTCGATGCATTTCTTAAACTATATATATACTACTACTAGAGACTACCAATTTCCCAGCGAAACTATAAGGATCTACAAGATTGAAAGGCGGTGTTGTCATCTAACTGTTATTAATTTTACGATGATATACCATTCCAAGTTCAATTTTTAACTGTGATGTAATTGAACGATAAAACAATTATTAATATGATGTCACAGAATCAAGAATTGGTAATTTCTTAATATTACGGAACTTGTCAAACTATTACTATACGTTATTTTTCCTATAAAATAATGTATGTTTTTTTTTAAACTGTTTAGTTTTGCTTTATTTTTGTCTTTTTCTATTATATTTTATTGGCACGTTTTAATTATAATTATAAAAGCTTTTTTTACCAAAACAATTTAACAAATTATGTTATATAAGATCATAATAATTTTCACATAAATACTCATTTTTATTGATAAGTGTACCTTAGACAGCAAAATACAATTAAGTGCATTGCAAGGAACTGAAGTTCCTTGGTGCATTGTCAAGTTTTTTTTATAGTTCCTACTAGTATTATATAAGACGCTTTAGCTTTGGAGAATTAATTTTTGTTACTTAATTACTGATAAATAAAAAGTATGAAAACCGCAGAAGTCTTTATTTTGTAGGACTTAAACCGCATAAGTCAAATATTTAGTTTCACAGAACTAAATATACTAATATTATCTCTTGATATCAAAATGAAAGCTAACTCATACCTATTTTTAAATTCATAAAACATTAACGAAGTGTTTAATAAAAAATAAACACATTTTTGTCTCTCCTGAAAACTTGTCTAATTTTATTTACGCGGTATTGTTGTATAAGCGATTATGTAAATATGTCGCAAACTTTTTTGTGTTTAGCAACTGATTGTAACTAATTAATTCTTTGTGTTTTTTTTATTGTTTGGTTTTAGTTTTGGTTTTTGTAAGTTCTAGTTTGTCATAGATTAATCTTACTTCATTTTTATTTGATTTTTTAATAAATTCATTTCTCTTGTTTTAAGATACTAAAAGCATTGAACCTATGTTGTTATTTTTTTTTCTCTTGTTGATTGTTATGGTTCTAATCTTGTTTTATTATTAAATTAAAAATGTCTCGTCAACCCTGCCAGAATTATCAGCGCTGCAGCAGCCCTGGTGTTGCTGTAATATTAAGCTGAGGCAGGGACCTAGTTGGCCTGTCTTTCTGTGTTCTGTGTTTGTATATGTGTTTCAAGGTCAATAAAATTTCTTTCTTTCTTCTTTCTATATAAATTATTGTATTGCCTCCTTTCTAATAGATTTCCTAGAAATAGAAAACGTAGAAATGACTGGGTTTTAATTATTCGATACTGCAGAGAGGATAACAATTGGAACCCATCACCTGCCAGTACTGTGTGCAGTGCACATTTCGATAATTTAGATTTTAAAAATACAGCTAAGGGGCTACGTTGTTTGGTTCCGTACGCCATTCCAAAAAGGGTAAGTATGAGATACTGTATTTGTACTATTTGTTTATAATTTATTGTTTACGCATTAAGATAAGTATTTTTCAATTACTACCCGGTTAAGATTATTTCTATGCATTTGGCATAATGTGTTTTCGTGCAAGCTTGTTGGCGAAATACAATCCTTCTTTTTCTTGCAGTTTATTTAACTGATTCCATTAGATTTCCTTATTACTGCTATCTAAATCACTTTTTTAGCTTCCCAATTATTACTAATAAGCTTAAACATATGGACAGGATCTAAAATACAGCCACATCCGATCCATCTGCAGGATTTTAAAAGGTGGTATTTAATTCATATTTGTTATCTATTTTACATCCCAATAATTACATTAATGTTAAATTACTTGAATGACCATCGAATGTTAAGCATGCAACTTTAAGCCTGCATCATAACATTTTAAAAGACATAAATAAATAAAATTAAATTTCTGCTCTGCACTTACCAGTAAATATCCCAGAGGTAATTTAAAATGCTAATTGATACCGTATATTAAGAATACGAATGCTTCAGAAGCAAGGGTTTGACAGTTTTCTGAAGTTCCTGTCCCCATATCGACATATCTCTTTTCCTCACTCTGTCAGTCTTTAAATACCTACTAAATCAATGAATGAAACACTTACATTTAAAAGAAGAAATAATAATATTAGTCTATTATATTTTTATTTTAAGCATTAATCTGCGCGGTTTAGGTATATTAATGTATGATATTTAACCAGATACTTAATTTTTATGTAAATAATAAATTTCTTTATATGTAGCAAGTGTTTTCATTTTTCTAACGGTCGTCATAAAAATGATGTTTGATAGACCCACATTATGTTTCTAAAGTGCACCCGTTTAAATTGCTGAAATATCGGGAGCTCACATCTAATAAAAACATGGTAAATATCCCGTTATTGTAATAAATACATATAACAATAACGGGATTACCTACATAGTGTTAACAATATTTTAGTTTGAGACATTTAAAAAATAGGGAAATTGATGACTTATATGACAACCCTCAAATCACGCACACACGGTAAACGGGCGGCCATTTGCATGCTTCACTCGTGATTAGACGAGGTTACGTCCGTCTTTTTTTTAGGTCCGTGCCTTTGAGGTCATAATGTAGTTACTCAACATAACCTTTATTTAACACTTTTTGGTTTTAATGTTTCAAGAGCAATACCAATGTTTTCATTACTAATAACGCTAAACAGTATATTCCAAAATTTGTGAAATATTATAATAAAACCATCCTTGAATAAAACACATCAATCAATAATTTTCACACAACATGATACTCATAAAGGAATGTAAACAAAGGACATTGTTCAGCGTCCATACATAGTTAGCCTAAGAACCAACAATCATGAAATATTATTTTCTAGGTTCGAAATCTTAAGTAAATGACTGTAAAAACAAAGATTATTGACGGACACTTCTGAGAACTTAAATTATTAGGAAAACTAAAATGTTTTTGAGGTTATGTTTAATATTCAATGAAACACACAACCTATGAACTTAGTATGTACTCAGTATAAAGTAAATTAATATTACAACAAATTCATTTTATTCGGTGCGATTTTAAAGAATATCTATTAGGAAAAACTTGGTTAGGTAGTAGGAATCATGAATAAAATAAAAACTGTAGTTTTGCTTCTTATTTATTGACTATTTTTCACGTAGTTGTATAATATTGTATTTATTTGTATATCACATGTATATTGTGTAAATATTGTGTAAATTCACGCTGCATACAGCGTGAATGTGTATCGGGTGTTGTGTTCTTGAATAATTAAGCAGTATGATCCTCTCAGGATGTTGTGGCACAGGTTCACTAGCACGGTAATAAGGGCTCTTCTCTTTGGTAACATTGATGGCATATGAGATAGCCAAAATAGTTAAATTAAAGGAAAAACAATCGCAAATAAACGGTATATTAAACTACTCTTTGGAATGCACGAATGCCACAGATTACTACGAATGCAAACTGCCTGCACCACAACCACAGAGTACCGAGTTTTATGCCGGCCCTTCACTTGACAACAGTTTGTCCTTGTCATGCTTAATAAAGGTAATTTTTCTAATTATAGCACTAGAGCGAATTATGCGGCATAATGCTTATCTTTGAATATTTCAACTACAGCAACGCTTCGCACAATCGAGCACTCTCAAAAGTACCTAATGTTTTCGTGTGATGCGTGCAATCTACCAACTCAGTGACAGAAAATTAACAAGTGTTTTTTCTTTAACTTTTGTTGAAATTTTTTTAAAGCTTTCGTTTCATTGTAGTTCTTTTAAAATAATCAAAGTTAATTCAAACTGTGTTAAAAAAATAAATATAAGTATGGATGAAGGTACAAACATTGACTTAGCGCACTCTGCTGGTGCATTTGAAAACTAATTCACGTTCCAATTAAGCATCAGCATAATTCGGCATTGTGCGCAACTGAGTCGCATTATGCTCTGTAATTGGAAAACTAAGCCAAGTGAAGTGCCGGCATTAGGAAGAAATAGTGTTTTGTTTGCAGCGCTGTCATAGATTATACACATAAAATGGTATTTATTGTCTCAGATTATTTTTTAACTTTTTAATTTAGCTTACTTAACTGGAAGTGTCCGTCACAATCTAAATACTGATAATTATCGCAAATAATATACTAAGAATTATCATAAATGCCAAATTGGTGTTGGTTCTTAGGCCAATTTTAACATTGTCCTTTTATATCTTGTTATAATTAAACAATGAAAATTTTTAATTTTAGACTTAAGTTAATTTATTGAAATACCTGTGTGATTGTTATGGAAAAAAGCTTATGTAAATATTATTGTAAGAAAATTACCAAACCCATAAGCATACACAATATTTTTTAACATTAAGCCTGTTTTATTTGTACACCCCCTTTTATTTCTATCTTGATAGCAATTTTATTTCAAACAAAGAAGATGATCATCATGGATTAATTTACAGGGTTACAGACAGGGAAAGTCGTACTGAATATTAAAGAACGTTATTATTCAGGTCATTTCTGATGGATTTGGTCCTATAATATGGTGTCCGAAACTTAACCGTTATGGAGATATTGGAGATTAAAGATTATTTTAAAAAATCCTATATTTTTTGGGTTTTTGTCGATTTTTTTGAAACTAGAGCTCCAAAGGTCCGATTTTTTAATGTATCTAGTTAGAAGACATGTCAAGCAATAAAAATAATGAATAAAAACTGAACCTACTTCTAACGGCTTAAAAAAACTGATCGACAACGTTTATAACATAACTAAAGAATTTTCACCAAGTGTTCTTAATTTGAAGCACTTTTCTAAAAAAAAAAAAAATGTATGGAACTTATTCTGCAAATAATTTTAAAAACTTCTACGTCTCTTTAGTTATTAAAAAAGGTATAACACTTGCTATTAAATTGGCAAAACATTGACCAAATAACAGTTATGGTAGCAGAGGGTACATTTTTAGTTTGAGGTAAAAATAGCAAAAATACGTAATGTCATATGTAATGTCCCCACTGCTGAGGCACAGGCCTTCCCTATTGATGGAATAGGGAAATTGGGCCATGACCCACCACGCGGGCCCAATGCGGATTGATGGGTGCTAACGACTGCAGATGCGGCCGGGACCAACGGCTTAACGTGCCTTCCGAAGCACGGAGGAGCTCGAGATAGTAATTTTTGGTCACCCATCCAATGACCGACCACTGCGAAAGTTGCTTAAGTTCAACGATCGCAGCCGAACGCGCTAACCACTTGCGCCATCGAGCTGCTCAAAATTATGATTCATGTTCAACATGGCCGCCGCTATTTCTAACACAATATACTCTCAATCTTTTTCTTAAATTACTTTTTACTACAGAAGTTTTTAAGTTCCGCCTCATATCCTCAGCCGCACCAATAAATCCTTTGTCGCAAAATATCGATATTTGCGATCGGCGTCATCTGGGGCCCAATTCTCGCGGCATAGATATTATATCACCTTCGATATATATCGAATGATCTGGCTTTTATCGAAGGAAAACCTTTTTGCCCTATTCTCACCATGTCGCAATAGATATTTATCTACGGATGATCAGCAGGCCAATTATGCTCGCTAATTGTGATATTGTTTTGATGTCTATTTCACATTACGTATTATGCTCTCCGAAAAATGCGATATCAAAATGACATCAACTTATGCTATGATGATGATCAACTCTATAAAATGATATCAACTTAAATGCGTATTACGTTCAACTTTTTGACTTAAAATAGTATCGCATAAACGTCAAAAATGTGATACAGGATATGATATTGATATGATCTTGATGTGACATAGGAATGTTTCATAATACCATATAAAAACAATGTCAACTTGGCATCAACATCATATTGACATCACATTAGAATTTTATTACTGAAGCATAATTGACCCACAGTAGACATACATCGACTGGTAAAGAGCCTTCGATATATAAATATCTATGGATCTTGGCAAGTTAATCTTGTTATTTCCACTTTTTTACCTATTATTTATTGTGTTGTCGTGTGTCTTTGCCAATTATTGTTACCTCAAGATGTTGTTAACTGCCTTCATAAATAATTAGTAAATAAAAAAGGAGTTAAGCAAAGGTGTCGATTCTGGCGTGATTCTCTAAACTTAAAACTAAATTTAACATCAGTCTCTCTTTTTCATTCTGTATAGAGAATGACAAGGAAACACTGTTGTCAAGTTTAAGTTTAGATTTAGAGAATCGTGCCAGAATCGACACCAGTTTATATTAACGATGGATGAGTTGATTCATGTTTTCGTCAATGATTTAGTAAATGACGTGATTGCTGCTGCTGTGCTAAGGCGCCGCCGTTGTGAAAGCAAGAGGGCCCATTTGAAATGAGGGACGCCGACTTCATAAAAAAAATACGTTTAAACAAAAATTTGGTTAGAAATCTATAAAGTTATGAATGACATTGGTATCGATTCTGACACGATTCTCTAAACTTAAAACTGAATTTAACATCAGTCTCTCCTTTTCATTCTGTATGGAGAATGACAAGGATACACTGATGTCAAATTTACGTTTAGGTTTAGAGAATCATGCCAGAATCGATACCATTTTCTTATTGACGATACGGAGTTTTTGGCGGGATTACTGCGAGTGCGGTTGGCGTCTTATTTTAATTATTCTAAAATTCGTTCATAGTGGATATTGTGAAATAAAATTGGTGTGATTTGGTGTTACAACCGTCTGCGCAACTGAAGAATTAGTGGAATCTTTAAAATATACGCTATTCCGGTCAAGTGGACGCGAGAACTTTATTGTAGTGTTGACTACCTCACAGAAGCTTAGAGAAAAAGCTGACTCCATAAATTTCGTGCCAAACACTCCAAGAAACATTAGAATGCGTCACACCGACATTCGAATGTAATAAAAAGAAGATTAATATAACTAAAGACTAGGCTTTATGGGCATTGTTCCCTTTGCCTTCCCTGGAAAGGGAGAATTTTAAATAATATTGACGTTTCATTATACATAACGTTGAAATTATATACGCATACAATTTAGGTAAAGTTGAGATTTCTTATACTCAAAAAATGTATACACACTTTAATATGAATGGAATTCATAAAATATCATTTTGTTGCTTGTAAAATTCTGCTCTAATTTATTATTTATTTATATAGACTGTGATGTTAACTTAATCGAGAAAAACGGAACGCATTCGGCAGTGAAAGAATATCTACGATAGATATAATATCATTGGAATATCGAAAATCCACGAGAATAGCATTTTTTACCATCAGTAGATATTTTCAATAGATATCCCTACTTTCGATATTATCTACGCCGCGAGAATTGGGCCCCTGGTCGTATACGAGGCTTTTCATATGACCCCACACATAATAATTTATATACGTATATATATATACCTTGTATACGACCAGATGATGCGATCGTTAAGCCGTTGGTCCCGGCCGCATCTGCAGTCGTTAGCACCCACCAATCCGCACTGGGCCCGCGTGGTGGGTCATGGCCCAATCTCCCTATTCCATCAATAGGGAAGGCCTGTGCCTCAGCAGTGGGGACATTAATAGGCTGGTGATGATGATGATGATGCTTTTCTGGTTTTATTTATGTATTCTTGCTATTTTTACCTCGAACTAAAAATGTACCCTCTGCTACCATAACTGTTATTTGGTCAATGTTTTGCCAATGTAATAGCAAGTGTTATACCTTTTTGAATAGCTAAAGAGACGTAGAAGTTTTTAAAATTATTTGCAGAATAAGTTCCATACATGTTTTTTTTAGGAAAGCACTTCAAAGTTAACAACACTTGGTGAAAATTCTTTAGTACTAACCGTTGTCAAGCAGTTTTTTTAAGCCGTTAGAAGTAAGTTCAGTTTTTATTCATTATTTTTATTGCTTGACATGTCTTCTAACTAGATTCATTAAAAAATCGGACCTTTGGAGCTCTAATTTCAAAAAAATCGATAGTAATCCAAAAAATATAGGATTTTTTAAAAAAATCTTTAATATCCAATATCTCCATAACGGTTAAGTTTTGGACACCATATTATAGGACCAAATCCATCAGAAATGACCTGAATAATAACGTCCTTCAATATTCAGTACGACTTTCCCTGTAACCCTGTACATATGTCATGTCATGTTAGGTATAGGAGGTGCTTTGATAACTTAGTATGTTTGTGTCCACTCTGCAACTTTTGCAATGGCCTATTGTCAGTCAGGTGACAATAAATATACTATCTTGAGCTCCTTTGTGCTTAAGAAGCCAAAAGTCTAAAAGGCTTTGGTCCCAGATGCATCTAGAGTCATTAGCACCTACCAATCTGCATTGGGCCTGAGTGATGTGTTACTGCATGCATGACCCAATCTCCCTATCCTATCAGTGGGGGATGTTTGTGTGCCAACAGTGAGGACATTATTAGGCTATGATCATGATAGGTATATATATTATTGGGTTAAAAGGGTATAAATCAACAATACAACATTAAAACTATTATGCTTTAATTCTGATTACACTATTATTTTTTTAAAACACCTTCATTTTGTAATTCTTCTTTGATTTTAGCTTGTATATGATCTGGAAAGTTTTTAAGTTCATTGTTAATATAATCACTTAAATTCTGTAGCGGTTTATAACGCTCGTGGACAATCTGTGATCCTGCTAGCATTGAAAGCATAGCGGCAACTGAAAATGTAAGATATTGTCCCCATGTCACTCCCGCTGGCATTTTATGCTGCAGAGTATTTTCTGATTTTTTCTTCGACTATATCGTGAGCTCTACGCTTTTTAAAAGTATTATAAAAGTTTACTTCACCGACTCTCCAGTTTATCATAGAAAATTCTAAGGCTGCTCCGAGAATGAAGAAAAGAGGAAGAAATCTATACATTCCCAAAGTCTTTTTGCCAGGCCATTTGTTAATAGTTTTTTGAATCCAACCAATTCTCATGGCATTAGAATATAATTTACACCAGACACAGAAATATTACATAAATTTTCACACGGAGACTTTTAATAATAGTAAATTTACGTAATTTCCAATATCAGGTCCAGTTGTGGGGACAACTGAAGCAGCAGAACAGCTGACAGACACGCGTCATCAGAGTTGCGATGTGAATCTTAACACGTGTTAATAAAGCTTGAAGTCCGTTGGAGAAATTCTACAGTTTTTGTTATTTTGTCATAAAGCTGACGGGCTGACGGCTATCAATTTTTTTTTAATATTCTCCCTTTTTAGGGAAGGCAAGGGGAACTAAAGCCCATACAGCCTCGTCTTTAGTTTGTTTTTTTTATATTGAAGAATAATTATATATATATTTTAAAGAACGCAACTAAAAGACCGTCATAATGACAGAAGACAACAATACCCA